TTTGCTAGTTGTCTTAGTTAAGGTTTCTATTGCTGTTGTAAAACACTACAACCAAAAAGCAAGGTGAAGAGGAAGGAGTTTACTTCTCTTACACTTTGATGGTACTTTTCATCATAGAAGGAAGTCAGGACAGGACTCAATCAGGGCAGGAACCTGGAGGCAAGAGCTGATGTAGGAGCTATAGAGGGGTACTGCTTAACTCCTCACTCCATACGGCCTGAAAGACTGATTTCTTACAAAATGTACAACCCCTAGCCCAGGGATGGGCCCACTCACAATGACCTGGGCCTTCCACCATCAATCAGCAATGAAGAAAATGCCCCACATGCTTACCTACAGGCTGAGCTCATTGAAACGTTTTCTTAATTGAGGCCCCCTGTTTCTGATGACTCTAGGGTGTTTCAAGTTGACATAGTCTAGACAGAGAAACAACTCATTGAAGCAGAAGGCTTGGGAATATGTGTGGGAACAGATTTTAAGAGTGTGAGGCCAGTGCACAGAAAAAACCAAGAGGAGGCTTTGTGTGTGTGTGTGTGTATGTGTGTGTGTGTGTGTTTTAATCTACTTGTTCTGGGTGTCCCTGTGCCTTCTGAAACACTTGGCCTTCTACTGTCAGCACCATGGGGTCACCGGCTACCACATAGACTTAGTCTGCCTGCCTGTCTTGGTAATAATGACAGCTCAGTGTCAGCGTCGGCTTCCCCACCCGTCTCTTGTTTACTGCCTTTGAACAGACCTTCCTTACCCCTGTGCTTTGGGTCACTTCAGGTCGCAATTTCATCTGCTGGACTGCCTGGTGGTCTGACCTGCAGGACACGAAATGTATGGGGGCTTAAAGAACAACCAAATGCTACAGGGGGAGGAAGAGAATGTCACTGACCACTCTGTCCCACCAGGCTCTGTGCCATAGAAGCCCAGTTGTTGTCTGTGATAATGGCTGGTTAGCAGACCCCTTCACTAGGCCAAGCCCCACGACAGTCTTCATCCGGCAGTTGTCTCCACTTCTAAGATGTCCATCGGGCTGCGGGGAGGATGAGGATGCCCCATAACTTCTCCCTAGTTCCTCCCAGGCCACACTGTCTGTGGTGTAGATGGCTTTGCCACACTATGACCAAGGCACCCTTCCAGGCCAGAGGCAGTGCGCACTCTTGCCCTCATTTACAACCCCTCCTTAGGGAGGGAGAATGGACTCTGTGACTCGTTCTGGCTAATGTACCCCCTTCCACCTCATTTCCTCATCACAGGACACAGGCTAATGTGCAAGGAAAGTATTTTTCTGTATCATAAGTGTATTTTGAAACAAGTAAAGAAAGATAGGATGCTCGTTTACTTTATTAAATGGGCTCTGACTTTGTGAAAGGCGTGAGAGTGAAGTCTTTGCAATGTAAGGGCAGGTTTGTTGGAGAAGCCAGCCACCCAGGTTCCCGGGCATAGGTGTTGGACTGCGTGTGTGTGTGTGTGTGTGTGTGTGTGTGGCAGAGTGTTGTACAGATCTATGTGCAATGCATGGATACCCTATGAGACTTGCTGGGATTTCTAGAGATTCAACTGCCTGATTCTACAGGAATATTGGCAGCAGGTTAAACTTTGGGTTTCCTCACCATTGCCACATAAGGTCAACCTGTGCCCATACCTGAAGCTCTGCGTAACAATATGTGATCTCTGTAGTAAGGTCCTTGAGAAGGCTACTCTCACGTGCCCTTGGCCCAGCTGGCCACATTGGCCGAAGAGCCAGAGATGTTGGAGTCGGGGACCTTTGGTCGTTCTTTAAGCCGCTTCCTGCCACCTTCTCCCAAGGATGCACACCTGCGCTCCATCTGAATCATTTGGGGGTGGCGGTGAGGAGGGTGATATGAATGTCACAGGAGGAGACACCTTCTGTCTTTGTTTCAAAGAAAGTTATGTGCCATTTGTTAATATAGAAGAGAAATATTGAAAACTATATTGAAAAGAGCAATTTTAAATTATTTTTGGCTTATGTTGCAATATTTATTTTCTTGTATTAGAGAAGATTTCTTTGTAGAGAAAAAAATGTATTTTTCATTACCGCAAAGACCTATTTCTCCTTTTTGTACATTGTCCTTGTTCGTGACCCTTAATGAGCAATAGAATGTTCGGTCACCCCTGTGTGGCCAGTGCCCCCCTGTGCCCTGCATGGTTGTGTTGCTGCTGCTGCTGCTGCTGCATAGTTTCCGGCCCCATCCTGTCCTACTCACTCACTGGGGCATCCAGACTACGGCCCCCACCAGGGTCTGTGTCTAAGGAGCCCACAGCACTCCTCGTGTGTTGGCAAATTCAGTTAATAAAGCAATGTTTTCTGTGCTGAAAAAAAAAAAAGAGTGTGAGGCCAGTGCACAGAAAAAAACAAGAGGAGGCGTTTTTTTTTTTTGTGTGTGTGTGTGTGTGTGTTTTAATCTACTTGTTCTGGGTGTCCCTATACCTTCTGAAACACTTGGCCTTCTACTGTCAGCACCATGGGGAGATGAAAGTTCCCCTCAGGTGGCCATCTAACTGTGGAGGCAGGCCATTCTGAGGTGCAATATGTGTGATCTTCCTTTTGTTCACACAGATCAAGGGACTTGTTTAAATGCCTCTGTGGAAAACCATGGTGTTATTTGGTTTTTGTTTAGTTTTAATCTCCTTGACTATCTGAGTATGAAATGGTTGATATTCTGAATAAAGTTAGCCATTGCATGAGACTTTATTCTGCCTCATACTTAGGCTCCCTTTCCCCAGGTTAGATCACAAACTAGAGCAGTGACAGGCTCCTGTATCACTGTAGAATCTGAACTGCCCATCAGGAGCTAGCCATTGTTTGACCCACCAGGTTATAAATTAGTAAATGCGTAGTAGCGTGCCATTATTTAAAGGAAATGATATTTACATGATCTGACACAAGCAGTTCCTGAAGGAGCTACAGAGTTACATGAAGAAATTTCCCAAAATGTCTATGGGTTCTGCTTTACAGACAGTGCTGTCTACTGCCAACCATGCACGTAGCGCCTCATGATGTTTTCTCTATGATCTGTTTACTGAGGCATAGAATACTAGGGCCGGTTTCACTGATGGTTCTGCAAGTTATATAAGCAGCAGCCAGCCATGGACAGATGAAGCATTGCAACCGTTTCAGGAACAACCCTGATGACAGCAGCAAAGGGACATCTTCCTGGTTAGAAGAACTTTAGGCACTATTTACATATTTAATTTGAGAGGAGACATGGTCACATGTGCAATTCTTCACTGATTCATGAATATTGCCAATAGACTGCCAATGTCTTGGTAACTGGAAATTTGGTGAGAAAGACGTCTGACAATAAAGTATGAGGAGATATTTCTTCAGATGGGAGAAAGATGTGAAGATATTATGTCCATGTAAACGCTCATCCAGTGTGACTTCAGCTGAGGAGGGGTTCAATAACCAAGTACATAGAATGATCTAGGTTACGTAGAGGCTTAACGACATGGACTGATATTCAGCAAGGCTGACGAAGACACTTGGAGGAGCATTCCACAAGCCATAGTGTCTACCTGTGTGGCCACGGGGAGATAACTAAATTTCCCTGTTTTTCTTCTTCCTTAAAAGGGGCTGATAACAGCATATACATCAGAGGGCCACATAGATATCACAGAGTGTGAGTGACAATCTCTATGTCCCTGTTGTCACTAGAGGCCACTCCTGCCAACAGGAGCTAAGTGAACACTGCCTAGACACTTTCTGTGCAGTTACATGTTTATTGATCCTTTGCTCCTACGCTTTCATTTTGGGTGATGCTGTGGGGGTGTCCATCTGATCTGCTTGGTTGGTCAGCTGGGAACTTAGGGAAAGGCTGGTCCTCTGCCCTGAGTAGGAGTGCTACAGGGAGAGGAGCTGGTCTGATCAACAGGCCCCTCGCAGCTGCAGGAGTTTGGGCTCCAACACTGTGGCAGCTGTAGTTAGGGTCAGAGGTCCTCCAAAGGGGAGTTGGTGGCAGAGCCTTTGGCCAGGAGAAGGGAAAGACAGAGGCAGAAACTGGGCACCAGTGAGTCATAGACATTGGAAATAAACTCAGGGCAGGCAGCATTGGAGCCAGCAGACCCTGAACTATATAGACTTTGAAACTGTGAATAAAGCTAAATTTTTTCTTTGCTCAGTGGGTTATCCCAGGTTAGCCAGTTCGGTTCCATTGATCAATATGACTGTTTTCATGCCAATAGCATGGGGTTCTTTTACTATTTCTTTGTCATATAGCTTAAAATCTGGGATGGTGGTACCTCCAGAAGTTCTCTTATTGTACAAGATAGTTTATAGCTACACTGGGTGTTTTGTTTTTCCATATGAATTTGAGAATTGATCTTTCAAGGCCTGTAAAGAATTGTGTTGGAATTTTGATGGGAATTGCACTGAATCTGTAAACTTCTTTTGGTAAGATGGCCATTTTGCTTGGTTAATCCTACCAATCCATTAGCATGGGAGATCTTTCCATATTCTGATATCTTCCTCAATTTCTTTCTTCAGAGACTTGAAGTACTTGTCCTGCAGAACATTTCCTTGCTTAGTTGGCGTTACACCAAGATAGTTTATATTATTATTGGCTATTGTCAAGGACATTGTTTCAATAAGTTCCTTCTTGGCCAAATTTAATATTTGTATAAAGAAGGGCTAGTGGATTTTCTAGTTAGTTTTACTGTTCCTTTTGAAATGACTTAGATGATGAAGCTGCAGCCCTCCCTGGTGACAAGTAGGGCAGAGATCCTGCACCCTGGTTTGCTTCTGACTTCCTCCCTTTCCCACATCAACTTTGAAGCATTTGATAAACAGATGACACACCCAGGAGAAGAGAAGAGAAGAGGTGGGTATTGTCCCATCAGGAGGTAGTTCTGTTAAAGACTACAAATCCACGTTACCCAAAATCATCCTGCCTAATTCTAATCTGAACTCAGACCACAGCTTGTCCATGCCAGCATTTCCTAAGAGGAGGGAGGAGCCCTTGGTGAGAATAAATAGGCATCAGTGTTCACTGGGGAGAACAAGAGGCCAGGCAAGTGGCAAGCCTGAACATCAAGAGTCAGCTACCGCAGAGGCTGGCAGCTGGCTGGTATCAGCTCAGCAGGTAATGCCTAGGATTTCTTTCTCCAGGGACAGAGACGGAATGATCCCAGGACTGTGTGGTACTGGCTATGACCTACAACTTGTTTGTGGGTGTGGGGCAAGGACTTTGTCTAAGATACTGGGTTAGAATCAGGGAACATTTCTGGGGTTCATAAAATCTTCTCTCTGATCTGTTTCTCTTGCCAGTGAATGCAGATGCTGTGGTCTATGCTTATGGAGAGTAAATGGAGCCTGCTTTTCTGACTCCATATGGGAGGACGTTTTGAGAACTTGACCACCATGCATTCTGCTGTCATAGCTAGGGTGAGACAGAACTATTCAGAGTCACTCTGGATGAGACGACAGCTCTGTCTTTCTCATATCACAGAGGAGATACCTGAGGTGTTGGGACCCCATTTCCCTTTTAGATCCCAGATCTCCTAGCCAAGCAGAGGGGATTCATCCTCCACTAGGGAGGCAAAGAAGGGTCAATCACTGAACCACGTTTCCTGCTGTAAGAACATAGCAACTTCTTTTCTCTGTCAATAATTTCTGGCACAAAATATTGTTTAATGTTTTTCCAAAGAAATGCTTGTATCAGTCTGAAAGTAAAGCACAGGGTAAAGGCAGCCAAGTTGTTGAGGTCACTGGCACATCTTCAGGCATGTCACAGCAATGGGGACAGTTGGCCTAGAGCCAACACACTCTCCTCTGCTACCTCCAGCTCCCTGTATGCTCTTTTAGTGTTCTCTCCCAGACTTCTTCCCTTGCTTCCTCCTGCTTTCTCTCCCTCTCCCTCCTCCCATTCCCCTTGCCCTCCCTCTTCCTGCTCCTTGTCCTTCTTTTTCCCATTTCTGTCTTTCTTTTCTCCAAACTTTTACTCTCCCATTTCTCCTCTTTTCTCCAGTTTTCTCCCTCCTCTCTCTTCTTCTTTTCCACCTTTATCTTCTTCCCTCTCTCTTATCTCTCTCACTTTCTCCTCCCTCCTCTCTGTTCTCCTTCCTCCTATCACTTCCCTCCTTTCCCTTCCCTCCTCTCCTCTGTCCTCTCTCCTGTCCAGTCTCTTCTCTATCCTTTATCCTCTCTCCTCCTTCCTCTCTGCTCCTCTTTCCCTCCTCAATCCTAACTCCTCTCCAATCTCTGCTCTTTCCTCTCCCCTCTCTCCTTTTTCCTCTTCTTCCTCTGCCTTCTGTTCACTGCCTTCACCTTTGCACACCTGAACAAATTGTCAGAGGCTAAAGGTAATTAACCATGATTATAGTGATTGCACACCTGGTGTATAGATGAACCCCTAGACATTCCCAACAACACCCAATGCCCACAATAAGGTAGCCACTTACAGATAATGTAACCTGGACCCCTCACCAAGCTACACCAAGCTGCTTGCTACTACATAGCCAATATAAAATCTTATCCGGATGTCTGAGACTCATAACTCTTATTCTTCTTTCCACCAGGACATCTTCTAATCCTGAGGTACAGAGGACCATGTGGTTCCTTGGCAGGGCTGTGTGTCCTTCCACTGTCAGTTTCCATGGGTCCAGGATTTCCACACTGCATGAGATACCTTTCCTGCTGCCTCTCAAATAGCCCTCCTCACACCTAGCTTCATGCACCAAATAAACTCAGGCTCCTTAAGATTTCTCAGACTTGTCATCAAAAGGATAAGACAGGATTTGTGATAAAAACTGCTCTACCATTCCAGAGTTCATCTAACTAGGCAGCAGCTGGAGGTGGCACAAAGTGCAGACAGAGCTCACACCTATCCCCCACTTTTATTCTGGCTTGCTCAATGACCTTAAATCAAACCTCTGGATCTTGGTTCTCTACTATTTGAATTGGCTTCTGTAACAACACTTCTTCCATGGCAGTAGGAAGCATATGATATAGTACTGACATCTGAGTGTCCAGAGCACCTCCTGTGGGCAGTCCCAGAGGCAGAAAGGTCAGCACAGCAGGGCACATTGCTCCCCAGAGGGAGAAGTAGGAGATGGTCAGAGCACCAGCTGGTCCTCCCAGACTGAATGAATGTTTTCCTTTCAGTGTGGAGAACACAGAAGATGGCCTTCACTGCAGCTCTGTGGATCTTGATGGCCGGGATCTGCCCTGCTGTCCTCTGCTTCCCAAATGGCACACTGGAATTGGACACTGCATTGCATGTTCAAGAAAATGGAAGACAAGTGGACAGTCTCACATTGGCCTCCAGCAACACTGGCTTTGCCTTCAGCCTCTACAAGGAGCTGGCCTTAAAGAATCCAGATAAAAATGTTGCCTTCTCCCCACTTAGCATCTCAGCTGCCTTGGCCATTGTGTCCCTGGGAGCAAAGGGCAACACCCTGGAAGAGATTCTAGAAGGTCTTAAGTTCAATCTCACAGAGATCCTTGAGGCAGACATCCACAGGGGGTTTGGGGATCTCCTACAGATGGTCAGCCACCCAGGGGAACAGGAAGAGATCAGCATAGGCAGCATTATGTTTATTCAAAACCTTCTTCACATCCTGGAAGAATTCCAGGAGAAGATAAGGGCTCTGTACCAGGCTGAGGCCTTCACAGTTGACTTCCAGCAGCCACATGAGGCCAAAAACTTCATCAACAGCTATGTGAGCAACCAGACCCAGGGGAAGATCAAGGAACTGATCTCAGACCTGGATGACAGGACAGCCATGGTGCTGGTGAACTACATCTACTTTAAAGGTGAGAGTGGTCACTGTTTGGGAAGTGGAGGGAGAGGATCTTGGCTGGGTTCCTGTGCTATAATATGACCACTGGAAAGGAGGTGCTCAAAGCCTTGGAGACGTGGGTACCTAACTTCTTCTTACTCACCAGTCTCCTCTTCTGATGTGGTTAAGGACACCAGCTGTGTTTCCTGTACATGCTCAAGAGAAGCCCTGAGCTCTCAGTCTACAAGGGCTGCTCATTGGCTATGACTTAACCTTACTTAAAAGTAGAATACTTCACATGTTCAGTCAGAAGCCATGGTTACTCTCTGTAGAGATACGTTCTTCCAGGATTCCCATTGCAGGCATTTTTATTATGTTTCCATGGCAGATGTCCATACCTGCTGGAGAACGTCTGCCTCTGGAAGGGTCCATGTGGGTTGGGGACTTATTGATCATAAGGAGTCTAGAGACAGTAATTGGACAGGGAAGGTAGCAAAGCTGACAACAAGTGAAGAGCCCTCTGGGCAGTCCCTGTGCAATACGTCTCCTCTGAGCTTTTTCTGTAATGAACTGGTCTTGGACATGGAGAAGCAGGGACTGAGTAAGAGTCATTAGTGGTGGGGAAGTCTCAGCCAGGCAGTGTTCTGTGTTTAGTGTCTGAATGCTTTGAAGAATTTTGCTTCTGTATTATGACTAGGCATTTAGCATGAAAAGTCAGAATTTCCAAGACACATTCCTGGTGCAAGGAATCTGATGATATTTGGTTTCAAGATAGAATCTCAGATGGTGGTTTTACCAGTAATGGTACTGAGGGGGTGGATCTAGAGATCCCACACCCACCATATTCTCCATGGGAGAGACAGGGAGCAAGGTGACAGCTCTGAAATTGGTGCCTGACAGAAGTCAAGACATAACCAGACCTTGGGTGGATCTGGAGAGGATTAAAATTAATTCATGGCAGTGCTAGGCCTGGTCTGATCTGTTGACAGAAAATCAAGGTGACATTGGACAGAAATGTAGGATAGGATGTTAGAGAACAGGAGGACAGGACAGGAGGACATTATGACAGGATGACTCCAGAGCTGCTGTTGGCTGGGAATGGTGGTAGCAGAGGGACAGCCTGAAGTATTAGACTGCAGAACATGACTCTCTCAGCTTTCCCCAGGACACAGCTCAAGTGCTGCTTGGTGTGAGGACAGATGTATCTTTAGACTGTGAGATGCCAAGAGCAAGGAATTGTTTCACACTCAAGTCCCATAGTGTCCGTTGGTAGAGGGGACAGAAACTACAATACTGGCATAAACCTGGTATCTGACATTTCTAGAGACTGTCATAGCCCATGTATGAGTTGAGGACTCATTACCCATGTCTTAGCTACAATCTATGGATTGGGAACTGATCATTATATTGGAGAAATTAGGCTGTGCTTTTCTGTTTCCTCTAAATCCTGTCCCACAAGCCATCGCCTTCTAGACACGGCTCCCCTGAGGAAGACAGGGCCCTCAACTCTCCCCAGGCTCCAGTCTCACCACCTTCACTCTGGTCTCTCTTACACACTCCACCCCAGATCCCTGACTGTGTCAGAAGCTCAAGTAGCCAGGCTGTGGTTTTAAAGTTCCCTCTTCCAAACCAAGCCTGGAGACAACGCTCATAGCCAGAAGCTTAATCAAATACCTGGGGTTTTCCAGTTCAGCGGATCCCGCACTAAGGGACATGCTCAGTGACTGAAGATAATGCATTGCTGTCACAACTCAAAAGCTGTGCATGACTGGGGAGGAGGTGGAGTTTCCTGTGGTTACAGCATGATCATTTGCCTCATCTTTAGGCAAATGGAAGACATCCGGTCATCCTCCTGTCACATTTGAATCTGAGTTCCACTTAGATGAGCAGAGGTCTGTGAAGGTGCCCATGATGAAAACTAGCGCCCTGACCACACCCTACTTCCTGGATGAGGAGCTGTCCTGCACTGTGGTGGAGTTGAAATACACAGGAAAGGCCAGCGCTCTCTTCATCCTCCCTGACCAGGGCAAGATGCAGCAGGTGGAAGCCAGCTTGCAACCAGAGACCCTGAGGAAGTGGAAGAACTCTCTGAGGCCCAGGTGCATGTCCTCAGGTCCCAGAACTGTCTTTGACCCCTGTCCTGCTGTTGCCTGATGGCCAGTGTCCCTGTACCTCAGAGTCACAGTAGTACCCAGTGTAATGGTGGAGAGTCTCCAGGGGACAGGTGATCTTGAGTTGAATTTCTCTCTGCTAACTATGTCTTTTGGGCCCTGAGTTGCTGTAGATTTTGTTGTTCACAAGATGAGATCAACTAGAACAAGGAGCTGAGGTCTTCTCCCTCTAACAGGCTGTAAGTTACACAGAATCTCAAATGAGTATGGAGGCAGAGGAAATGGTGATTCACAGGATATGAGCTCTGAGAATCAGCTCTGCTCTCTGGAGCTATTGCTTCCTCTCAACAGTCATCATTCACCATACACCAAATAAGACATGAAGACCTACTATGAGCCATCTGATGTAGAATGGAAGTATATCAGAGACTGAAGCAGAAGCCTACCCTGAGGACTCCTCTTGTAATTGAGGAAGAAATAGTGTAGAGGGAAAATTAAATTAAGTATCATTTAGAAGGTTAAAGATGTGAGACAGGCTGAAGTAAAGAAGGGGAGTGTCCAAGGGTTAGGAAGGCTGTAGTCTGATGCAGTGTGCAGTTTTAAATGAAAGGTTCCTTAAGTGATGTCTGAGGGTCAGCATAACTGGACGGACTGCATTTGTGGATCTAGGAAGAAACCATTCTAAGTCAAAAACACCTAGGACCAAGTCAGGTTGCCTGTCTACTGTTCACACTCTCAGACACTGCTGGGTAGTTAATTCATTAGGAAGAGCAAAATCAAGTCATCTAGGCATGGAAAGAGGACTTCTATCCTGTGAGAGGCTGTCTGTGGAGAGGAGCCCTTGCTATATGGTGGATTGAGGGGACCACAGAGTCTAGGGAGTCTTTTTTTTGCCTCCCCCCTCCCGAGTCTAGGGATTCTTACATGAGTATTTTTTTATTCTCAGGATGATCGATGAACTCTACCTGCCCAAGTTAACCATCTCCACTGACTACAGCCTGGAGGAAGTCCTTCCAGAGCTGGGCATCAGGGAAGTCTTCTCCTCACAGGCTGATCTGTCTGGGATCACAGGAGCCAAGGACCTGCAAGTCTCTCGGGTAAGATGAGAAACACAGGGTACTTCGCCTTGGAACCTGACTGGATGGTGAAGGTCTTGTGGGCATGTGGGGATGGTACATGTGTAAGAAAACTTACAGTCTGAGTTCCTTTACAAATGTCCATCCTTCCCCCCCCCCCTGTAAATAAGCTCAGCTAGGAGACCATTGTGGGCAAGGGCTTCTAGTTGCTTTATAGAACTTCTGCACTTCAGAGCACCCAAAATACACTACAGGGGCACCCATAATACATTGTACGAACACCCTCAATACACTGCAGGGGCACCCACAATACATGTAGGGACAAATCATGTCCAATTTTAGCATCTTTACTGCAGTGCTGGGTCAGTGCTTCCTGACCAGCACACAGAATATAAACAGTAAAAGTAATAACATGGACTGTATGGCAGGTCTGATGAATACATCAAGAATAGGAGAGAAGATTCCTTGGACCCCCATACTACATCCCTAGGTACACAGCTTATCAGTGACCAATGATCTGTCCAGGGCCCATTCAGAGCCCTGGGCTCAAATCTGTAACAGCAGGACATGGCTGTTTGGGAATGTGAAGCCAAGGGTTGTGCATTGCTGTTGTATATCCCAAAGAGACAGGAGCAGGAGGGAGGTTGAATCCTGCACTGGCTGCCAGGCCCCTAGCTGTTCCCTCTGAAGAAGTCGGAGGCTGCCTGTAAAGAAACTCCTGCCATTCCCTAACTCTGTTCTCCAGTTTGTAGCGGTTTGAGGGCAGCACAGATTCAGACACTGAGCAGACCCAGGGCGTGCCTCATCTCCCACTCTGAGCAGAGACTTGGGAAATCCAGGGTTAGAGTTCAGAGAAGGAACAGGGAAACAGCAGCAGATGAGGCCAGCACTCACTGCTTGCTCCAGTCTTCTCTCCTGCCCTCCCTGGTCTCCACTGAGTGATGTGTTTCTCTCCCCCTCAGGTGGTCCACAAAGCTGTGCTGGATATGTCTGAGGCAGACACAGAAGCACCTCCTGCCACAGGGGCCAATCTTGTCTTTCGTAGAAGAGGAATGGAAACAAATGTGTCCTTCAACAGGCCATTCCTGATGGTTATCTATGACACAGATCATCAGACTATCCTCTTTATAGGCAAAGTTACTGACCCCAGTGAATCTATAGCATCCCAAGTTCCAAGGATCCCGTGATCCCGTGACAGAGACTGCATGTGGATCTCTGGGTATATCCTGGCATTCATGCTCTGATTGGCTGTTGCAAAGATGGCTTCGACTATCTCTGTGGCTCCCACATTCACAGGAGCCTTGGGACTGTCAGTGACAGGCTCTTGGGCCTCTTAGGAGCATCTGCACATGTTACTGAACCTGATATCTGTCTTGACTCTTCTTCCCTGGTGACTCTTCTCTTTATGTGTCCATACCCCAAACCTAAGCTCTGTCAAATACATGCATTCCCAGTATAGGCTGTGAGCACATCTGCTTTCGGCTTCCACAGTCTTGATGGGACCATGCTACCCTCTCGGCTAACCCATGAGAATCAGACCCAGGACTGAGAGGGGAACCTGCTGCACTGAATGTCATCCCAGCATTTGAGAACACCTGGTGCCATGCTCTTAGGTTATGCTTTCCCCCCTGTGGGGATTGCCACTCAGTGGCCCTTGTAGGGTCCCCTAATCCTGCTTACATGTTGCACAGAGTTGGCACACACACTTCTGCAGCTGCATGAGCCAGAGGCTTCAGACCAGATCCTCTCCCCTTTGCATTCCTACTCAGGGCAGAGAAGTAGCCTCTTTCTGAGTTCCCAGTGGACCAACCTCACACAAAAGATGAGCACCACCTACCAAAATGTAGAGTTAGGAGCAAAGGATCAATAAATGCATACCTGCAGAGAAAGTGCCCAGGCAGTCTTCCCTCAGCTCCTGTAGGATGGGGTTGCCTCTAGTGACAACACAGTAATAGAGATTGTCACTTGCTCTGTGCCTCCTGTGACAGCCCTCTGACGTATATGCTTCTATCAGTTCCTTTCATGGAAGAGGAAATGAGAAACAGAGAAATATAGTTATCTCCCCATGACCACACAGGTAGATGTTATGGCTGCAGGGATGCTTTTCCAAGTGTCCTGATGCCTGAGGAGCAGTCTCCCCCAAGTTATGACTGTGTTCATGAGACATCATTCTGGTAGGCACGTGGATGGTGAAACAGGGTTCTGATACTTCCCAGAGAAGAAACAAATGGTTCATGGATCAGGTGACATCTCTTCTGAGGTTAATTCAAGGGAGATAAGAAAGGCGTTCAGATAACCACAGAGACTATTTTTAGGCAGTGGAAAGAACAATGGAGCTATTTCTGTGGATCTGAGGGGGGTGGGTGTCTGGAACAACAGAGTAGAGTGGTGGGGGAGTGGAAGAGATAGGAGTGGTCACAGGGTTAGCAATGAGCCTGAATACTTGAGCATTCTGAAATAATTCAGAGCCACAGGGAGCACTGGAGGGGTTAGACAAAGTTTCTCACTACAGAAAGGTACTGTGTGAGGTTACAGTGCAGAGAACTGAGTTGTGAGGGGTGAGGATTGC